TCGGTTCTCAAAGAATACCTCATGCAAGTTTTCTTTATAAAGCACACATTTTATTTTTCTTTTCCATGAAGCAAAGTTGGTCCCATCAAACCTTTGGTTTTCAAGATCTCAAAGATGAAGGTACGAGCAGCCATTATATTTCTATTCTCAAGCAAAAATAAGAAAAGACTCATAGAGGCAATCAAGTAAAACGAGCTATGATACCAATGAAAGAAAGACCTATGTGATCTTTTGTCGAGAAATATAATTTTTCTTGTTTTAATAATAATTACCCCTTATAATTTTGGCAACAAGATCACTCACAGATGGTCTTATTACAAATAATAGAAATTTCAAAAATAAATAACACATCAATAAAATAAATCTAAACTACTTGATGCCATTCATACAACCTAATACTGTGCTTGAGAATATAAAATAAAAGAACTAACAAATAAAAGAAAAGATGTCAGAGATTACCTCAATTGGGTTTTTTACACCCCACACCGAATCACCACATCCAATGGCGCGGGATCAGCGATCTAGCTTCAATCTCGAACCGATAAAGTTAATTTCGGCCAAACTAGGTAACCATCATTAAATCTCTACAAAACCCTAACTCCAAAATAATTAAGCTCAAACCCTATTTCCCAACCCTTAGATTAGATCATAAAAGAGAGAGATTCTATGTTGGGGCGTGTCCCTTTGGGTATTTTTAGGAGAGAGAGAGTAAAGAGAGGGGGGTGTGGCCCCTAGGGAAGAGAGAGAGAGAGTTTATGGGAGAAATAGAGGTGTGTAGAGATGGGGGAGAGCACCCCTATTTATAATGAAATTTAGGTCTAAGGTTTTTTTAGGGTTTCCTATAGTTTGCCTCTTTATTGAGATTAAATATGGACCGTTGATCAAGGTGACTTGTGGGGTGAGAGATCTGAGCCATCCATTTCATAGATGGGCCATCAACATTATGGAAAATGCATGAACCATTATCCCTTTTTTCTTAAACCATTTTCCCATCAATATATTTAAATAAATTAAATCCATTAAAGATATAGTGCATACCATAAATTGCATATTCCATCTCATATTTTCCATAAGAATATTTCAAAAATATCAAGTCAAGATATTCCTTCAATAATCAAAATAAAATATGGTCAATATTTCTTAATCAATATTTGACCATATGCTACAAGATATAGTTACCATATTTAATATACTTGAAGACAAAGCAATAAGAGAAGAAATCCAAAGGTGGGGCGTGCCACCCATGTATGGTATGTGGGGCCCCACCTAATACCCACATGGTGGGCCCATGTGCATTATGGGCCCTCCATATATTTTTTTTAATAAATATTTTAATATTAAACAAAATGAATTTTAAAACATTATAACTTTGTAAATTAATAACTTCATTTTTATAAGTCTAAAAATAAGAAATAAAATATCAAATGACTTATAAAAATTCAAATAACAAATCTAAAATAATTTAATAATAAAATGAACACAATTAAATTAATATAATGGGAAGTGGATCCATATGGTTCAGGAATTCTATCAACGATCACGGGGTACTTCACCTTCAATTGTGGACTACATACCACACTTGCTTTATCAAACCATCCAGTGTTTTCCACGACCCACAATCCAAGCAAGGGCTCATTCGCGGGTCACCAAAGTCTGGTCGATAATCCAAGGGGTCGCAATCCCAGTTTGTGGATTATAGGTCCTCGCCTAGAGACGAGTTAAGGTCACCACGACCTAATGTGACCACATCTCTATGGCGCATAGAGGTATCTCTTTCACATGCATACGCTTCACCCAAAGCTAGATATCTGGCTTTCCTGAATGATCTATCAATATGCATGCCGTGTGATAGAATATAGATGAGGTTTTGGCCCTTGTCTCAGTAGGCCTACCATCACACACAAGGGTCATACAATCCCTTGGCTCTCTCATCATGGCATAAGCTCCGACCTCATCAAGGACTAACCCAAAACCCTCATCGGTTAATTCTTTATGCCCAGGTACCTTGGGTTTTCCAACTGTCTGGCCTGGATCGATAAGCACAGTCCGGTATAAGCAAACATCATTTGCTTAGTATGGTCCTCGAAGGACCATACTCCTACTGAGTTTATGTTTCACCATAATGAAAGTATTTCAATACACACTCATAAGGCCTTTAAAGGCCACCTAAACGCAACAATATGAAACTTTTATGGGCCTTTTTTTGGGTTCGCCCTGGTTGGGCTGAATCCGTCCTGTTGGCAGCCCTAATCATGGTTGAAATAAATCAATTTGTTATGAAGCTCTAGAAGATTGATCTTGGCAATAAATCTAGTTCATTGGATATAAAACATGTAATTGTTCAAATATTTGGGACTTTTGAGAGTTGTTGTTCATTTTTCCAGAAAAATTAAGGGGTGCAGTTAGGCTTAGGCTTTACATCATAATGTAGAGTTGCACCTCAAAATCTGACCTAAAACGACAATTCTAGCGGCACAAATCCCTATGACGGCCTAAAAATAAATTTTCCTCTTTGACTGTAAAATTTGATGCTCCAAAAATGATGTTGATTTAACATATATAATCATTTGAAAATAGACAATCCAAACAATATGTTACAAGATATACAACTTTGGGAAAAGTTTATATAGAGCCGATGCTCTAAACAATCAAATTTAAGCCTAGCTCAAAAATTTCACTAGAAGAGAGTTTTTTGATGCTCAAATATCCTCAAATTGATCATCCCGATATCAAGATGCATGAAGATGAAAGAAAAAATGGATTTCAAGTTTTGGAAATGGTGTATTTTGTAACGTATTTTTGGATCGTCAATTTTCAAGATTTTCAAGTTTTCATAGATCTATCGATCTACACTATTT